GTTTGGGTGTTGAAAGTTATTTGAAATTCATCTAAGAAACAATGCAATGCTGGTATCAGATATGGCAATCTGAAAAACATTCTCACAATCTTTTTATTCTCTATGGTAATGAAATGTTCATAACATTTAGAGTAAAGGCTGGAAGTAGTGATATCTTAGTTAATACAGCAATTTTATCCAGTTGTATCTCTTCCAAAGAAAAGAAGTATACTTTCTTGTGGGACTCATTCCCCAGAGGCAGCTCTACATATGTACTTAAAGGTTCAAAAGGCCAAATGTGGAGTACCTAACCCTTGAATGCATCAGATCATAAATGTAAAGGCACCCCAGTGGGAAGAAAGCAGGTTTTTAATCCACAGGGCCTTCAGTTTGCATTCAAACTTTCCCACCAAGGTGCAAAGATACTTAAATGGCACTTCTATAGGTTTGTAGTCAAAGCATCTATTCCAGATAAGTGTGCATGGTTAGTTTGTCTTCCAGTTGATTGTGAACACCTTAGGCAGGGGGACTGCATTCTATCTTCGCTTTGTTCCCCCTGTACAATAAGAATGATATGGCACAATATGGATGACTGGTAGGCTTACTTATGCAAATGGGCAGAGATGCACCTGGCATGGGGCCTGGCACATGTGCCCAGCAGCACAGTGGTTCTTAAGGTTTCTGCCATTCTGGTGACAGTATCATTCCCTTTCCTCCCACCTAGAGCTACATTCAGGCATTTTATTTTTCCATCTGACAAGCATATCAAGCAGCCACAGATAAACCGAGGCTGGCCACAACCACTCTGTCTCCACGTGGCCTTTCATCAAGTCTCTGGCTGGGATGTTTTAAAACATGTCACTAATACCATAAGTACAGGAACTAGATTTATGGCAAGGCAGAACAGCGTTGTGGTTACACGTGCCTTTATGGAAACTATGCAGACATTCTTGATAGGATGGCTGAAAACACAAGGGCTGCTTGGTTAAAAGTGGGTCTGGATGGTTTCCAATTGAATAGAGTCCAAATGTTAACAACCAAGAGTCACAAAATTACTTGATGTTTGCAGCTGCCATGTTCTCAACAATACTCACAAAACTAACTGAAGTCAAAGGCTAACTGGATGGACACCAATGAGTTCACGGAAGCTGTCTGAAAATTCTTCCCAGGGAAATTGGGCACATCTTATCTGTTCTACGTTATGATGGCTCCAAGAAAGGAAAAAAAAATAAACACCCAACAGGTCAAGTATTTTTTCAAGGTTGCTCTATGGCAAGTGACTGACAAGTGTTATCATCAATTAGATAGAGCAATCCAGCTTAATAAAGAAATCCAAGTTCTTTGGTTTGGTCTTTGTTTTCTACTCCTTTGTTTTTTTGTTTTTGCTTTGGTTCCTTTGCTTTTTAATGGCTTCACTGAAAAGCCACAAAGTCACACAATGTCTGCTGTGTCCGCTGAGAACCAGAATCTGTTTAATTGAAATAGTGCATCTTTTAGAGGAGGAATGGTATGATAGTACTGTGCAAATAGACAACTCGATAGCCCTGAAAAATAGAGGTCAACCTTCTCAAGATCTTGCCTCGCCCACACAGACCAATTTTGAAGCAGGCTAGAAACCTCACTGAATTTAGAAGATGTGGGCAAGACCTTTGCAAAGAGTGTAACGCAGCTCAGTCTCATTGAGGCTACATCGAAGCAGGCAGTGGGGAAGAGAAACTGCTTTAGATAGAATAAAGGATTAAGGTTAAATGTACTTATAGCTGGTAGGATGACACACACCTTTAGTGCCAGTACTCTGGGAGGATGAGAGAGGAGGATCCCAGCCTGGGTAATTTAGTACTTAGTGAATCTCTCTCTCCCTCTCTCCACCCCCCCTCTCTAAAAAGGATGTATCTCAGGGAGAAGGCTCTAGGTTCAATTCCCAGTATCTCACACACACACAAAAGCCAAAAGTACATATATGTTGCTAGATTTAATTACTAAAGAGTACGCTTATATTTGAATTATGACAAGTGACTGTGTATACATATGTATCTATTATTTTGTTTAATGTTCCTTAAGGGACTCAGTCTGTATACTTTAGAATACAGATTAAATCTCTTATGAATTAAACTCATATTTTGTGCACCCCAGGTCGGTGTTTCCCACCAATGCCATAATTGTAACAGAGCAGAGGCGCAGAGGCTCAAACTCAGCTCACCTGATCCCCAATCCCCCCCCCCGTCCCCTGTGCAGTGCTCTTATCTTATCGGCATTTAAG